GAAAGTAAGCTACATGAATAACAACTTATCAATCAATTCAATACAGTATAATAAAATGGCTGAGACCCGACTAGTTTTTGTAGCATTTTAAGAAAAGTTTCTTACAGAATAAAGGGAGAGACGCTTTGCTTCAGTGCTGAAAGGGTAAATATGAAGAAACTTAATATCAGTAAGCGTATGTGAGCAACCTTTAGGACTTTAACAAATACTTGCTTTGAATTTAGTTATTTTGGCAATAAACCAAAAAAAAATTTTTTACCAAAAAAAATTTTGGTAAAAAAATGTATCAAAATAACTACTTAACATTTTAAGAATAATATAACAGTTTCTATTACCCTTAATTAATGATAAATGTAGATGTTTATGGACCACTGCGTCCACATACCATCAGGGGAACTGTATACTCCTTTGTCACGAACACCGTCGGTTGCCAAAAAAAATATCTATGTCAGATTGCTTTTAAGGTTTGAAGCGAGTCAAGGATTATGTAAAGCAACTTAAAATCTCATACATGCATACATAAACACTCACGCCTGTCATCAAGAGTGGTAGGCAGAGACTATGGACTTCTATTTCGCGCGATCCTGACACACCTCTCTCGCCTCCTCCACATCCATGTACACGCTGGTCGGTTAAAGGTACTCTTAATTTGGCCAAATTTCAATATATCGCCGATTTGTTCGATAAACTTTCCCCTAGGGCGTCCCTTCCCGACTCTGCCGTTCACCTCTGCAACATAAATTTGCTTTGACTCTTTCCTCGTTCATTCTTTCTACATGACCAAACCACCGAAGCATTCCTTTCTTAATCCTTGTCACAACGTCATCTTGCAAACCACACTCTTCTCTTAACAAACAATTTCTCACCCTGTCATTCAGATTCATCCCTAACATACTCCTTAATGACCGCATTTCTACAGCGTTTATTCTCCTCTCATGCTTCTTCTGCCAGACCTAACTTTCACTACCATACATTAAAGTAGACACAGTATTATGAATTGCCATACATGCATTTTGGACACATTCTGACTTCCCACAATAGAGTGTAGAGTCCTATTCACTCTATTTCCTGCGTTCACTCGTCGTTCTATATCCTTATCATATCTACCATCTCTGCTAAATACAGATCCCAAATACACAAATCGCTTGCTCGACCAACTCCCCTTCTATTCTTATTTCACATATCGTTTGACTTTCTTCTCTTTAATCTCTTTCTCTCTCTCTCTCTCTCTCTCTCGTCTATTACTGGAAAATTTGTAATAGACGTAAGTAACTCCTTATTGAAATTAAACGGTTGCAGGCTTCACGACGCAGCCGCGACCCTCGTCACACTGACTGAATGATATCTTAATTCATACATTTCTAATGAAACGTTACTTTGTTATTCAAAATGCGAACGTGATGAATTACTGCTATTAGTATAAAATATATAAATTACTTATATTGTATTTAAAAATACTTTGACTGTTGCATTTTAGAAATCATGAAGTCCCGATGGAAAAAGCATAGATGCTTTTTGGTATCGAGTACTTTCCTTTCGATACTGATGCGTTTGTACTCGATACTTTTACTAGTTTAGTAAATTTTGACAAGTTTTAAATAATTCCTACTTCGCCTGAGGCCTGCGCCAAACTATTCGCCAAACTTTCTTTAAGCCGTATTTTGAATTTATTTTAGTTTCTGCTTACTCAATACTCACCCAATTATAAAAAAACTCGACTATACTAATACTATGTTTGATATGTCACACTTTGCCCGTTTAATGAATGAAGATAATAAAAAAAACTGAATTGTATGATGAAAATAACCTATTATCCGATAATACTCACTAACTATTACAATTTGTTATCTCTAGTAGTACCTAAAATTTTTGCTTTTTTTTAAAGAAAAATATTTTTTACCTTAGTTTACAATCTTGTACACCACGATCACAAATTAATGAGTTCTATCGGTTTTTACTATTATAGTATATCACGTTAACTGAAAGATAAGCAATATATAGTTTTATAAATCTTAAATTACTTATTGTTATAGTGAAAAATTTTCAGAAATCCTCACTTTGACAAATTTAATACGAATAAAATAGCATTTATTCGTAATTTTAGGCGCAGAGCCGGCAACAGAGTGCGTGGAAGAAAATTCGAACATTTACTATATAATATTTTCAAATTGATTTTATTTACAGCTTAGCATCACTATCACTTCCTGCGTACCGTCAAAACTATGTACGTTAAAATAGGTTCAGTGGTTTAAACGTGAAAGCGACAGACAGAGTTACTTTCACATCGATAATTGTATTAGTATAAATTTTAAAAAAATTGTATCACTCCCTGCGTACCGTCGAAACTATGTACGTTAAAATAGGTTCAGCGGTTCAAACGTGAAAGCCACAGACAGAGTTACTTTCACATCGATAATTGTATTAGTATAAATTAAAAAAAAATTGTATCACTCCCTGCGTACCGTCGAAACTATGTACGTTAAAATAGGTTCAGCGGTTTAAACGTGAAAGCGACAGACAGAGTTACTTTCACATCGATAATTGTATTAGTATAAATTAAAAAAAAATTGTATCACTCCCTGCGTACCGTCGAAACTATGTACGTTAAAATAGGTTCAGCGGTTCAAACGTGAAAGCCACAGACAGAGTTACTTTCACATCAATAATTGTATTAGTATAAATTAAAAAAAAATTGTATCACTCCCTGCGTACCGTCGAAACTATGTACGTTAAAATAGGTTCAGCGGTTTAAACGTGAAAGCGACAGACAGAGTTACTTTCACATCGATAATTGTATTAGTATAAATTTAAAAAAAATTGTATCACTCCCTGCGTACCGTCGAAACTATGTACGTTAAAATAGGTTCAGCGGTTTAAGCGTGAAAACGACAGACAGAGTTACTTTCACATCAATAATTGTATTAGTATAAATTTAAAAAAAAATTGTATCACGCCCTGCGTACCGTCGAAACTATGTACGTTAAAATCGGTTCAGCGGTTCAAACGTGAAAGCCACAGACAGAGTTACTTTCACATCAATAATATTAGTATAATTAAATGATACTAATTTTTAGGGATTTTTTCGCGTTTAATTTAACTTTTTAATTCCCGACGTTTCGGGTGGTTTTTTTAATTGCGGATGACGTCACGTGGACGTTAATGTGACAAGGTTCCAGCGCATTAACAATTTGCGGGACTTATAATTTAAAATGTTAAATACCAGTTTAAAAATACAGCTATCTATACATAGCTAAGTATATACTATAATAATAAAAATCCAACGGATTTCGTGAATTCGTAAAATGTAAAAAACACTATGATCACAACATAACAATATATTATTATATATGTATAGTATATTGTATAACATATTTAAACGTATCTCCTCAACTAGAATCTACAACTGATAATTGAGATGTGTAATGTGTATCACATGTAGCTTCATATTACAATACATGTTTTATTATATAAGCCCTACGAGCGTAAGGCATCAAAAATTGAGTAAGACTCATTTGAGTGTTCCCTCCACGGAAATCTTTAGTAAAAGGCGAAAGATTTATACGTATTGAAGGGTAACCAGAGTGCCATGTTAATACTCTAATATTGTTATATCAGAAATAGCCAAACGTAACCGTAGCGTTTTGTAATTTTACTATAGCGCCATCTAGCGATAGGAAGGTTATCACTCGTTGTTTGACTTATTTGCCATCCAGCAGCTTGGATAACATCTTAATACCTACCAACATTTCTCAACAGATGCTGCAATAAAAATTATCTACAGTATATTTACCAATGGCAGAAAAAAAAAATTGGAAAAAATAAAATAAACCAGCCACCGCAGAGTCTACATCACCTGAAGATGCCTCGTGTAGAGTCGAAACACGTGTCGTATTGTCGTCAGTGGAGTGTCTTTCCTAGTGTAGTGGTGACGGGGATAATGCACGCATTTTTTTTTTGTAGAATAAGGGTGATAAACGAGCACACAGTCCACCTGATGGTAAGTGGTTGCTGTGGCTCGTAGACATCTACATCTATATTCGTTTGCGAATTAAAATGCAGCTGCGTTGTCAGCCGTGAGGACTAAGATAGAAAGTCTCTTTTCCAATAAAAAGGGTCTTCTCTACACTCACCATACGAAACACAGTAGTATTAGGCTGCTATTTTACGCTGGTATTCTGTGAGAGTGTGGTACTTCCCCGGTCGAGCCGACCCATTCGTGCTACAACTATACTATTAATATAGCTGCAGCATGGCTCTACCACGTATAAGAGGGATTGAGGGAGGGCGGGAGGTGCTCTTAAAACTACAACATTTTATTTTATCGAGCGAATGTACGCTACGTAATTTTAAACCAACTTCAAAAACTATTGGTCAAATCTTGGTCAAAGGTATATGGGGCGACATGAGAAGCACCAGATTTCAAATAAAAAAAGAATTATCGAAATCGATTCACTTAGTTCAGCTGCCTCAGATGCCGCCCCAACTCTAAACGACAGAGATTATTATTTGAGACTATTTCAATGTAACAAATTTATCGGTTATAACAACATTAATAAAACACAAGATATATTTCATATTTATATAATTTTTTCATTGCAAAATATAAACTTCCCTAATAACTCGAAGCTTTTTGGATGTAACGAATAAAATTTCGTGTTATTTTGCTAGGCTTTTTTTATCACAGGATTAAGAAAATTTTCATTGACAATTTTAAACATTCAATAACGTATAACTCCGCTTAACCTTCCTTAAAATATATCTTTTATATATAAAATGTTATCATTACAATATTTTTTCGAAGTAGGATTTTTCTAACCAATTCTAGTAAAGCGATCTTATTTATTAAAACAAATATCTTGATAAATAAGAAGATACATTAATGATAATAGGTATTTGATAAAATATCAATTTCCAATCACTAGCCTTTTTTAATATTTAACACCAATAGAAACCCAAAATGTTATAATCATACGTAATTCATTGATTTCATTATTTTTCATTCATTCCTTCACAAGGTACCCTAACGCTTTCATCTCCTTGTCAAACTGAGCGTCTCTGTACTTCTTTATCTTCTGAAACCACTTCCCGATAGACACGTGGTTCCTGCAAGTGCCTCCATATCTCGTCGGGAGACATGCAGGATCTATATGCTGGTGCAGGGACTTGAGGTCGTGACCGTGGAAGAATATGCGATCCCACGTTTGTTGAGGGATGAACCGCTTGAAGATGTAGAAGAAAGTGTTGAGCAGCCAGTTGTAGTTTATGATATGACAGGATCGGAGACGGGCTGGCACTGCCACCTACGAAAAAGATATATGCTAATAAGTGTTTTTATTTTTACAGCGAGCGTTAGCCATCTGAAGCTCAATGGCTCAGCTCGAACAATGTGGATCGAAGACGGCACCAATGAAATTTTTAATTACAATTTTAAGCGCTGATTTACCACATGCTCGGCGGTGAAGGAAAACATCGTGAGGAAACCTGCATGTGTTAGAAATAAGAAAAAAATTTGCGAAGACGTGAAGTTCGCCAACACGTGTTGGGGCAGCGCGGCGGACATTTCCTTACTCTAAAACCCTCTCAGAAATGAGGGGCCTGTGCCCAGCAGTGGGACGTATATAGGCTGTAAGTTTTGTTTTTGTTTTATATTATTAATGTCTGTTCTTGGCGGAAATCAAAGACGACGCCGTTGTGCGGCTTTTCGGCTGAAGCCAAAGGCGATGATGTAACTATACTTATAAATCTATAATTTAGTCTATTATGTGTTAAAATGCTTTGTATGCAATTATATAAGTAAATTGTACTTTAGTTAATTATATTTAATAACTGAGACTATAATTAAAAATTAAAAATTTTGTACAGCCGAATTCAATATAAGTTATTAAGAATAAATCAAAAACTATTGGTCCGACCTTGATCAAATTCATATGGGACCACACGAGATGTATCAGCTTTCATATAAAAAAAGAATCATCGGATCAGAAATCGGTAAAAAGTTATGAAGTAACACACATAAAAAAAAATACATTCGAATTATTTACCGTCTGCTTTTTGGAAGTCGGCAGAAAATATTATAGTAAAAATTTCGAACTACGCAATTTAGTTAAATGTTTTTGTGATATGAAATAAGAAATATGTTGTCTTATTAAGATTAAAATCTAAGAAATAACCCTTTTGAATTTTAACTTCGGTCAATCAAATCGTTAGGATGGCCCAAGGGCCACCCCAGCTTCGCCTTAACCATCTGTCGCTGACATTACAAGATAGTGGCAATGTTGTATTAGACAACTGAATATCACTCAGGTCAGGCCGCTAGTTGAACGGAGCCGTATAGTAAAAAGGCTAGGCAGTTCTATTAAAACCAGTGCTTAACTACTAACTCGCCTGATGGTAAGCGGTGATGCAGCCGAATAGCGCATTAACTTAGCTTAAAGAGCCTAGTCACTCTTGTATAAGTCATGCAATTCCTGCGCACACTCTCCGAAAACAGGGTTATTTTTCAAAGGGTAGCCAAATTTTAAACTTATTTAAACTTAAGTTCAAATATATAAATAACCGATATTGCAGTTTTTGAAAATACGAGTTAGAAAGGCTTCTTCTTTTGAAATTATCCCAAATTTAATGTGATTTATGAGCAACAACTACGCGTACGCGCGCATTTTTTGTTTTGTTTGCGATTCAATTCACAACGTATCTACTGACCGATCGACCCTTACCCTTACGGTTGTGTGTGTGCGTAGTAAAATAGTGGACAATCGGTTAAAACTAATGCATTACCACGGATTTTGAATTTAAAAGATAAAAATTACAGAATTTTTGAGATATTTTAATTAATATTGCGTCACCATTTGGTTATATTATTTATTCTGAACCTTCTCAGCAAATTTGGCCGGTTATTGCAAAATAGAAGGTATATCCGGATTTAACAAAAGTTCAAATTTTCTTGTTTAAAAGTATCTAATCCATTTGTGACCTTTAACTTACCCCCATTAAGCTAACTATCTGGTGTGCGATAGTTGGAGTCAAAGTAGAAACGTGTTTTAGGGTGATCCCCTCCAGATCGACAATGACTGTCCCGCCCAAGACTTGGATCTTAGGTTGTCGGATTCCTATTTCAGTTAGAGCCATCCCAGCCCGTACCAGCTCATCAACGGAAAACTCGCTTGGATCCCATGTTCCTTAAAAACAAAATTATTATTTTTTAAATAATAGGTATATTCAGAGAACCGTTATAGTTCAGAAGCTAAGCGCACTGAGAAAATTTTACAGTACGCGAGCACCCTGGGTTCGAACTTCGCTGAGGAATGAAATTTTTTACATGGTAGAACCATACTGCAGCTATTTTATGGCTGTAGCAGGAAGGGTCGGCTCGGAAAGGACCACGCTCTCACAGAATACCAACGTAAAATAGCAGCTTAATGCTGCTGCGTTTCGTATGGTGAGTGTAAAGGACAGCAGTAAACCGGAGGATTTTGTTGGAAATAAGACATTTCATCTTGGTCCTCAGGGGTGACAACGCATCTGCTTTTTGATTCTTAATCGAGGACAGATGTAGATCTATGGGTCACAGCATCCACTTACTATCAGGTGTACTGTGTTGCTTCTTTGCCACCATTATGCTATAAAAAAGTGTTAAAATGCAATTTTAAGTTTTGATTTATCACATTCCCTGCTCTAAAGGAAAACATCGTGAGCAAACCTGCATGTACCAAAAATAAAAGTATTTTGAATATATGTGAACTTAAATTAATGATAGGTCTTCGCGCGCTCAGACTAGATACCGCCGGCGCTCTTGTAAAATGCGGCAACAAATACTACGCCGAAATCGGCGTACTCGAGCCAGTCGCGTTGCAGGCGATATGTGATGTGGACATACCGAATATTTTATTAAATTTTAATCATAATCCGAAGTAATACCAGTTTGCGTAGTGAAACTGTGTAAAAATAAATATAGAAATAAGAAAGACACTGGGATCACATACTATCAGTAAGTATCGTACAATTTCGAAATTTCAACATAAAATAACACAAGCCATAAATAAGTTACAAAATATGAAAAACGCCATTCAGTGTCGCCGCGTATACAAAAATAAAGTTACCCGTGGCTGACCGTATATGAATTTAATGTTACTATATTTTATAATATATTTAACTTATTATAATATTTTTTTTTTATAGGAGAGGGGGCAAACGAGCATGCGGCTCACCTGATGGTAAGTGACTACCGCCGCCCATGAACAACCGCAACACCAGGGGAATTGCAGATGCGTTGCCGGCCTTTTAAAAAGGAGTAGGCTCTTTTCTTGAAGGTCCCTAAGTCGTATCGGTCCGGAAAAATCGCCGGTGGTAAACTATTCCACAAGGAAGTTGTGCGAGGAAGAAAACATCTTCTAAATCGCACAGTGGTGGACCGCCAATCATCCAGATGGTGTGGATGGTATCGGGAGTTCTGCCGCGATGTGCGTTCGTGAAATTTGGCGGCTGGGATTAATCCGAACAATTCCTCAGAGCACTCCCCATAAATGCGAAATAAAATGCTAAGAGATGCAACATCTCTTCGCAGTGCCAATGAGTCGAGCCGATCGGAAAGGACTCGGTCGTCGACGATTCGAGCCGCTCTGCGCTGGATGCGGTCAAGTGGAAGAAGCTGGCACTGGGGAGCCCCAGCCCAGAGATGGGAACAGCATTCCATGTGAGGCCGAACCTGCGCCTTGTAAAGTTGCAGGCGTTGAGCCGGCATGAAATACTGTCCCGCTCTGCTGAGCACGCCAAGCTTTTTAGAGGCCAATTTGGCCTTTTCTTCCAAGTGACCACGAAACTGCACGCTACTCGATATGTCGACGCCAAAGATTCCGATACTGGCTGAGGCAACTAGGGGAGTACCTTGAAACTGAGGAGATACGACAAAGGGGTTCTTTTTAGCGGTAAACGCGCAAACTTGTGTCTTCTGAGGATTAAACTGAACTAGATTTAGTCGCCCCCAATTCGAGACTTTGTCCAGCAAAGACTCGACTTCAGACACAAGTTTGTTCCGGTACTCGGTGACGTTTTCCCGAGAAATATTGGCACGGCCGGTGTAGAGAGCATCACCAGTGCTGTCATCCGCATAGCAATGAATGCTACCGGCTTGCAACATATCATTGATATGCAGAAGAAACAGCGTTGGTGATAGCACGCAGCCTTGTGGAACACCAGCGTTAATAGGCTCGTAGTCTGAGCATGCACCGTCTACAACGACCTTGATGCTCCGATCTGCAAGAAAGCTGGTGATCCAATTGCATATAACCTAATTCTATATTATTTAATGTTTATTTTTGTAGTATTGCTCAAATGACCTAATAATTATATGTTGTTTTATTAATTGTTATTTTTATTATTAAAACATTATTTCCGTTTATTGGGGTTCCGTACCCAAAGAGTGTCAATGGGACTTAAGTTTCCACTATCGTTCCTTCTGTCTGTCAGCAGGCTGTATTTTATGAATCGTAATATGTAGATACTTGAAATTTTCACACAATGTGTATTGGCTATTATTGCTATAACAACATATAATAAAAATAAAATTTTGGTTACACTATATAATATATTACTATTATTTTTAAATACTTTGTGAATATTAAGTCAGATATTTAAATATAAAAATTAAACTGATAAAAATGAGGCATTATCATTTATATGCCATTTATACAGAAGAAAAACCTATACATAATATACACAAATATATTGATACATTCACTATTCATAAATTATGCATTTTTAAGTATTTCTGGTCTACATTCATAACTATGGACTTAACTACTAAGCCATAGCATAAAATAATTTTTCCCGTTAATCAGGTAATAGTTAAGCTGCTGGTATATACAACGTTTTACGCACACTAGCATCCTTGCAATTGTCTTATACACACTAGAATATTGAGTTGCCGCATTCACGGAGCAGTTACATTCAGGTAGCGCGGTATCTAGTCAGAGTGCGCGATGACCTATCATTAATCTATGTATGTGAGGTACCTATACTAAATTACACTGCACCATGCTAGGCCGCGATGGGTTTTAAAACAACTCTCTGTGCTCTCCCCAAAAATAGTAACAAGCACTTTCCAATACTATTCCAGGCTGTTATACAATATGTAATACAGAGAAACCTTGTTAAGTGATATCTTGATATGTGAGAAACCTTGTAATAGAACCCTCTATAAAAACGACAACTGTCATTAACTATAAACGATAGAAAAGTGTGTTACCCACGTTATAAAGTGATAATATCGAGTTACTTTTTACCATGAATATTTATGAAAAATTGTTTACAAATTCCTATTTTTTATAAACACGATACTCCCCACACTAGGATTTTCTTTCATCAGGACAAACAATCGTTCCAGGTCTGGACCTGCAACGATTGTTTGTAGACGGGCGCAATGCTAATTCACTTCACCACGAAGCTTTCATCCTATTTTCAGCATGAATGCCACGTTGGTGCAGTGGTCTTAAACGCGACTGCTGATTATGAGGTTCGAATCCTCGGTTGGGCGAAAATAATCAGTTATTGAGTCAAGAAGTTGGCGGTGATACACCCCCGTGCCTCGGAAAGACCTAAAGCCGTTGGTCCTGCGCGTGATTTCTTACCGGTTGGTTGTTTTTCCGTTCGTTTCATACTTTTACACCAATCTTTGCCATAATTCCATTTCGCCTCTAGGTTGTGGTAAGACGCCACTCCACTACGAGAAATAAAAAAAAAAAACAAAGAGGTACATAAATTTGTGGGAGACGGGAGTCCACACTAGGATACCCTGTGCTATGGATCTCCCGGCTCCCCATTTAGAATGATCAACTAGATGTTTCTTTCTTTTTTTTTTATTATACGTATATAGCAGAAACTTTTTTCCGTTTGCGAGAGAGCATACGCGCAAGCAGTTAATCTTATTGTTTGTGTGTGTGTGTTTGTGTGTGTGTGTGTGTGTGTGTGGGTTAACTCGTACGTGGTATGTTAAGATGCAATCTGCAGTAATTGTTCTGTTTTTTCGTAATCAAGTTTAAGCAGCCAATTTGATATTTTCTTTTTACATTCAAATTTAGTTAGGTTAATGATACGGTGTAATTTGTTTGCTTTGTTATATAATCGACTACTTCTAAAACTGAAAAACTTTTGAGCAAAAAATGTTTAAAAATAAAAATACCAAAAAATACCAGAAATATGTTATGGCTTATGGTATAATTTTATTTTTTATATGAGAGAGGGAAACGAACATACGGCTCACCTGATGGTAAGTGACTAACCGCGGCCCATGAACAACTGTAACACCAGGGGAATTGCAGATGCGTTGCCGACCTTTTAAAAAAGAGTAGGCTCTTTTCTTGAAGGTCCCTATATGGCGGTGTAACCATCCTTTTGAGACCGGTGCAAAATTACCCAGTCAGCGACTGCAGGGTTCCTTACACTGATACAAAGCGTCTGGTACCGTGGCCGTCAATCTAACCTGATAAGCGTGGTCCTCCATACAACGGAGTAGACTAGTAGTGACATTGACAAGTGCTTTGCAACGCTCTTAACAGCGGTTACCATCTTCTCTGTTGACCTCAGATATTCTCTTTTCTTCGGGATTACTGCGGGGATTGCAGCGATGACTTGACCGAAGGTGCTAGCGACTGCTGCTACTTTGTCTACTGTTTCGGCTGGGATTATTCGTGGCCGCTTAACTTTTCTCCTTTCGGCGTCCATTTTTTGTTGCAAGCGTTCGGATCCGCTTAATACTTCTTCTGGGTTTACTATGGGATATTCCCTGCTGTTAATAGGGTACGAGCATGAAGGTTCGTTGGGTCTGAGTGGTTTCATAAAACTGAGGTTTTCACCTCTGTCTTCGTATATCACCACCTCATGTTGTTCCGAGGCTTTTAACACTCCCATGTAGTCTTCTACCTTCCCTTTCTCATATTCTACCACCATAGCATCTACGCTTATTATTTTTGCTGGTACTTCTTTAGCCTCACGTGCCTCCGCAAGCACAGCTAGCACTGAGCATGCCTGGGCGAACTCGGTGATGTCGTCGCCTTTTCCGAATAGTGCGATGGTTTTGTTTCGCGTGCGGACTATTCGGCAGTGATTGTTTGCTACTGTTATCTTCTGTAGCGCCTCATACTTCTTACGTTTTATTTTTTTTTTTTTTTTTTTTTTATAGCAG